ACCAACAATAATCTGCACAAAAAGACCCCATAACGACCAATTATTATTCTCACTTTACAGATGAGGACACAGAGGCTCAGAATAGTTACGGAGCTTGTCTAAGATTACACAGGTAGAAAGTGGCAGGCCTGGACCTGGAGTCTAGGCCTGTCTGAATCTGTGTGCTATACCCTTTCTGTTACTACACAGCTGGCACCTATTAACACAATTTTCTAGAACAAATTATTTAAACAGATGTTCAGAAAGCATTTGGAAAAGAAGGTGGTAACCCTAGGTGCCAAACTAAACATATCACTCTCTCTGATAGGGTTACTGATCTAGTAGACTGGAACAAGGCTATAAACATTCCTTGACTCTAAATTCAGTGTTGGATTTGATGAAGTTTCTATCACTGGTTTGAACAAAATGGAAGCATGGGGCTGGGATAAGGACACAGGTATATCATCATATGGTGAATAAGGCAGGCTGATGTGTGTTATCAGTGGAGGGATGTAAAACTAGACAGCTCTGTTGTAGCGTTCTGTGCTTCGCTCGGTCCTGTTCACATATGTTTGGTCACTCACTCATTTACTCACTCACGGACTCACAAGCACTTATTGAATGTCAGTGATATATACAACCCTAAGTCAGGCACAGGGGATTTGTGGTAGATGTCAAAATGTGCCATGCAGATCCCTCTGGGAATGCTATTGGCAGCTTCAACCATCAACATCTCAGGGTCTGCTTCAGCTGCTGCAAGCCACCTCACCCAAAGCCACATCCTTTCCCAGTGTGGCTCACATCCAATTACTGACTGACACAGCAGTATAAAGGCCATCCATCCTGGCCTAACTCAGGACAACTCTGATGGGCCATTCTTGCTCCAGAGTTCCCCATGGCATCAGCTTAGGTTATTATTGGGGGTACAAAACAGTTCAACTTCTCCCTTGGCCCACTTCATCCCACAGGTGTTGCTCCCAAGTTTACTCCTTGATAAAAACCCTGCACACTAAACCTTGAGTTGGAATCAGTCTGCTTCCTGGAGAACCCACTGGCAGAGGGAAGGGCCTTGTCCTTTGTTCATCCTCTAAAGTGCAGAACTACCACCAAGGACAAGACTTACACAGTAACAGCATTTGGGTTTAATAAAAGGAAGACTTTACTTTCAACAATGAAACAGCCTGCCCTGGAGAAGTAGTGAACTTTGTAAGACAGGGGGAGCGCTGTTATTGTTGGAGGAGTCTACGTCAACAAACAAGCTGATATTTTATTAAAATTTGTTTCTCTTCATTCTGCTCTTGGCTAACATGTAGCATAGCATCACTGGTGTTTAAAAATTAGTGATTAGAAGTTTCACAAAGGAAATGTCCTGTATTCAACAGGTTGTGGAAATAGTTTTGAAGGCAAATGGTAAACAAAAAATCCCATTTTTTAATGAACTCCCAAAAGTAAACTGAGATTATTTACAATGCTGTGGCAGAAATTCCAATGTCCAATATCCATTTGCTCCTTTGTCTTTTGGTAACAGAACCCTGAATTTTAGCTGGTTACATGACTATCCAGCCAAAGACTACATTTCACAGACTCCTTTGCAGCTAACGTTGCTGTGTAACTAAATTATGGCCAATTGCATCACAGTGATAGTGACATGGGCAAGTTCGGAGGCAAATCTTTAAAAAGAAAACACTTGTCTTTCATTTTCTCTTCCCTCCATCTCCAAAGTTGTAATATGGAAGTGATGGAGGTAAGGCAGCAGCACCCTAGGAAAGGTGGAGCAACTATACAGAAAGTTCTGGAGTCTGCAGCAGAACTCTATTACCCCTCAGGAATGCCTTCCAACTTTGACTTTTATGTGGGAGAAAAACAAACCACTTAATTTGTTTCTATCATTATTGCTTCGATCTCTGTTAAAGCAGCTCAATCAATCTCTAACTTGTACGGATGCCAAATTAGCAACTAAAACATGGGTGATGCTCATTCTTTGTTTTATAAGCGTGGTAACTTATCAGCGGACTACAAGGGAATAGGAATAGGAATTAACTTCCTTTACTTGAGTTAACATCTGCATCAGCTCTTTTTCTTTTTTTTTTTTTTTTTGGTGCTCTGCCTTGTCCTGGCCCACATAAAGATGCTATGCTTTAGTTTTATATTAAAAAATCAATGGCCAAGGTTACATCTGAACTGAAATTGTGTTTATTTTTCTAACTATGTGGTAGAATTTTTTCCAGAAATAAACCCTTATTTTTATGTTGCTGAAGTTTTGTTTCAGAAAGGATTTTTAGATAGGTTTATATTGTGTGTGTGCATATCTACATATATGTAGATATATATGAATGCATGTATTTTATTAATTCATTTCATTTCACTCATTTATTGACTAATTTGACCACACAGTGTGTATAGGAAAACTATCCAAATAAAATAATAATAAAATAGATGAAATTCACAAATGGATGAAAAGAACGAATGAGGTACAATCTTATCTTAAAGACTGCAACCAAAATAGGAATCAGAAATCCAATGTAAGCTGTTGTTACGAATAGTTTATCACTTGGAATTTCCTCTATTTCTATTAATGCAACTTTTGATGCTTTTGTAGCACAAGAACCATAGCCTATATGAAATATTATGCTCTATCATTAATTGGTAGAGGCTTTATTTCTCTTTTAGCTTCTGAAGAAAGTGTAGATATATAAACGTCTGATCATTTGGCTGGAAACATCTATAAATGTATAAATTATTTGCCATTTTTATCATGACAGCAACTGGATTTCAAAAGATTATTTCTGCTTAACTAGTTCTGGAGATAAAGTACTACACGTGTAATTTATGAAATACATGTACACATGGGTTACTCTAGAAGGGGGCAAGGATTCCAAAGCCAAGAATATGTTCTCAGTTACAAGCTCTCTTTATACTTATGTACATCCAGAGAGGTGTCCACCTTTTCTTAAAGCATAACAATAGCTCACTTTCCTATCTAAATATTAAAAGTCACAAATACTTGGGAATCTTAGTCATGGTAGAGCCAAGTTCTCACATTAGAGGGAGGAGTTGGAATGTAGGGTAGAGAGAAGGGAGGGAAAGTTCCTTGGTTTGTAGCATTGCTGATATGCAGAAAAGGCCTAATCCTATGATTATTTTCTCTAGTATTTCCATCTAGTTTTCACACTGCTTCCCCTAACATCTTCTCTTCAGAGTCTTAACCACATCATGCTAACATATTACCCTAAAAATAGGTGATTGGCAATGTTCAAAGTAGGCTACCACCCCTCTTACTTTACCCTCAGCAATATATCTGGTTGGACGATTGGCTATGTGACTATTTGGGCATACAAGCTCTTTTTAATAGAGAGCATCTGCCTTTTCTGAGTTCAATTAACTTTTAAAAAATATCTACTATGTCTCTGAGATTGTTCTAGTAAGTTTGCTTTCATGTAAATTTTCAGTTTAATCTGGTGAACTTCTCCTTCTTTCACTTACTCCAGGTAGCTTCTGAATGCCCACTAAGCTTATTACGTGCCACAGAGAAACGGATATAAACTGTTTTCAGGCATTTAAGTCAATATTTTCAATTACTATAAAAATTATTTAGTAAGAGAAAAATTATTTGAAAGATGTCAACTTAAAAACGGAAGTGTGTGCATTTAAAATATCCCTATCAGAACAACCAGAATGGAAATACGAACAATTTGTGTAGAAATTACTGAATGGGAGCCTAAACTGCTATGTAAACCTTCACCGAAAACACAATAAAACATTTTAAAAAATAAAACATACCCATTACTAGAAATTGTTGGTATCACAGACCATTATGGGAGCTTAAAATCTATACCTTCCATTGCAAAAGGGAAAGAAAACTAATATATTTCATGTACCCTTTTTCTGAAATATCATTTTCTATAGTTGTTTATTACTAGCAATCATTTTAATTGTTGCCAATAATACACGTAAAGGTCATTATAAGCACTAAGCTCTAAAGAAGGCATCGCCATATTCATTCTAGGCAGGCATCAGTCTATTCTCAAAGGATGGATAATTACAACTCCTTCAGATAGGTTAGCTGAGATATTTCCAGAAGCATCTCTAAAACTGTTCAGCATTTATTAACAACTTTGTCTAGTGACCTGGTTCAGGGGGAATACTGTAGGGAGATCGTACACCCTTTAAGAACATGCCAAAAACATAGTAGCTGCTAGTTTGAGAGCTTTCATTTGCTCTACCGAGCTACTTTTAGAAAACAATGGTGGCATTTATCAAACACCACACAGAAAATACTGTAAATGCTGGAACTCAGAATGTAGCAATTAAAGAAATTTAGTAGATGGGAATTGGGGAAAAGAAATACAAATTGCAGAAAAATACAAATGTGAATAATATAAATAAAGAACACCTGCATCTGAGGTGCGTTAAGGGTGAGGACATTTAAGACAATATGATAATAAAATGTAATGAAGATTATGAGTTCTAATTTATTTAAACTATAGCTTTAGAGAAGATTGTTTCCTTCAGATCATAGCAACAAAAAGCTTTTTTTTTTTTTTAAAAAGGGAAGTGATTACCTTGGTTTTTTTTTTTTTTAAAGGGAAGTGATTACCTTGGTTTTCTGCCCACATATTTTTCTGTGATATATCACAAAAAAGGAAAACAGGATGTGTTTTTAAAAAAATCACTGCTAGTAAATGTGTGACCTTCATATAGTTTTTCATTGCTAAATCTGCTTCAGAGTCTGGATTATCTTTTTGTTATTTTTTTCTTCTTTTTAAAATACTTTCAGGAAAATAAGTCCAAAGGAAATGTAGTCCCTTGTGCTTTTACCATTTTGAAACGCACAGGAACTGCAGTATAAAATGACTATAATTTTCTAAAGGTAAAATGAGTTGTTTAAGGTTTATAGAGTTCATACAATGGTGACCACATGCAGCCTTCAGTTTAAGAAATTTCTGGCCTACTTAGTGAGCACGGGCGGAACACGGCTCTCTGTCCCACCTCACCAAAGCCTGACATAAGAAACCACTCACCACTGGTGATGGGGAGAGTGCAATGTTGCCTATTGATGCCTTCAGCTCATCTACAGTTGCAGCATTCTTAAGAATGTCTTTAGATTGCAATGGCTTAATCTTGATATTAAATTTCTTGTGGGATTCTTCTTCCTCTTCAGATTCACTCGAAGAATAAAAGTGCTTTCCTTTGGTAGGTAGAACACAGTTAAAGATATATAACTCTTTCTTCTGTCGCTAGGCAACAAGAAGTATAAGACAAGAATAATTGCACATAAAGACAGCAAAAGTATGCTTAGACGGCAGAACACTAAAACTAACAAAAACAAAAAAAAATAAAGGAGGAAAGGGTTAGGATTTGTTCACTATTCCTCAAGACATGATTGATTTAAGGATGAGAATTTCAGGGAGTGATGGTGATAATGTCCTACGTTTTTATTACAATCGGCCATTTGTTATATCATGTCAGTATGCACAGAGACAGGCTCAAGTGAGTTTACTGGTCTACCAAGAGAGGAATGCCGCTTTATGGATGATATGTAATGAGTTCTAAGTGTTTCAGAGTGACATGCCCTTCCCAGAGATGAATTATGGGGAGAGGACAAGTGGAGAGCTATTTTCCAGTCACAATGAATGATACAGTCATATCAGGTCTTAGCTGACAACCCAGCCCACAATTTGCACAACTGTTTTTCAGCACATTTTTCTCTTTCTCCTTTCTCTCTTTTCTATGAATAGATCAAGGCAAAATGCCTGCTTGTCAACGATCAGGCTGTTCTCGGTGCTGTTTATTCATCTCTAATATTAGGAATAACAGGGCTTGGGAGGCATGGGTTATTTCAACACCTTTGCAAAACCTGAATTTATCTTATTGTTTGCTGAGAGAGAATAAAAATTAAAGTGAAAAAAATACAGAAAGGATATAGCCAGGTTCTTCGGGTCTGATGCTGTATCCTTCTTCATCCAGCTCAGGTGAGTTCTATAAAATACAAGTGCACAGTGAGCAATTATTATCCTACAGTGATCAAGGAATTATTCACTTTCCTTCTAGAGCCTTTTTCTTAAAGATAGAGGCAAGTCTCTTATTCGAGAGACGGGGATATTAACTTTTGTAAGTAAATGCTGAGACATATACATGTAGATATTTAATCAAGGATGTTTGGGGAGTCTTTGTATTGGGGAAATTAGCTAGTAATCACCTGTCAATGAAACAAAGCATTCAAAGAGAATTTATCATGCATTTCCTCTCAGTCAAGGATTGCGCTAAGCAACAGGGGGGATGCAAAATGCAAATTATCTATCCTCAGGGAAATTGAGATATATTTGCCAAAAATGAAAAAAATACAATGTAAAACACTAAATACATATGGTAGGATAGAAGTTTGAAGGAAGACAAAATTAGTGAGGTTTGGAAGAATCAGGAAAGTCCTCATGGGCCTTTCAAAACAGATAGCAGAGGGTAGGGTGGAGTCCCTTCTAGGTGGGAGGGAAGAGCCTGGCTGAGACAGCAAGGCAGGAACAGACACCATATGAGTCAGGGGAGAGAGAGAGACAACAAGAGGGTTGACATGACTGGAAAAGAAGCTGTATCTGGGGTGATGTGGGAAATAATACTAGAGAGGTCTGGGGTAGGGTGAGGCCATGGGAGGCCAGCATGTGGGGGAAAGAGTTTGGATTTGATACAGCTACTGCAGCTTCTCAATTAGATTATGACCTGTTGAAAGCAAAGTTTTAAGGTCTTCTAGAAGTATGTTTCAGGATAGATTGTGGGCGGAAGAAACTGGAGACAGGGAAACTAATTCAAAATACTTGTATTAATTCAGGTAAAATGTACTAAGAATATGGATCTAGCTGTTGGTGGAGGGAAGGAATGAATCAAGGGCATTTGGAAGGACTGTTAGTTCTTGGTAACAGATCAGTCATAGGAGAAAAAGGAAACAGAAGGTTCAGGAAGACTCCAAGGTTTCCACCCTCAAATCCTGAGAAACTGCTGGTACTCCTGGCTAGGCTAATTTTAACATCAGAAAACTAACATTTTTGGAAAGAAAAAAGAAAGCAGGAATGATAAAAGACAGTTTACATTAGTAGGATTAAAAAGAAACAGCAAAACCCATTGCCGCTGAGCCGATTTTGACTCATAGCAACCTATACGACAGAGCAGGACTGCTCCATGGGGTTTCCAAGGAGCGGCTGAGGGATTCAAACTGCTGACCTTCTGGTTAGCAGCTGAGCTCTTAACCGCTATGCCACCAGGGCTCCATTTATTAGGATTAGTAATGATCATATTTCAGTTCCTACTATATGGTAAGTACCGTGTCCCACACTTTATCTCATTGAACCCTCATAACAACCATAGGTGGTAAGAATTCTCCCATTTACCAAGGGGTAAACTAAGAGAAACCAGATACCAATTCTTAAGGAAACACACTCAACAAATGACAGACCCAGGCTTTGACCTGAGTCATTGTGAGACTATACCCTGTGCCCTAAAGGAGAGGAAGATGAAGAATTCAGGGGTGGCCCTTTTAAACCACATTTATAGGCCAGGAAGTGAGAAAGGACTAAGTTGGAGACACAGACCTGGGAGTCATTTAAGCAATAAAAATGCCATGGTGATAGAGAGAAAGCAGGGTCTAAATGCTATGGAAAAAGCCACCATTTTTGAGCCCTGCATTTATTGAGCACTTATTGTAGTCTCCCTCTTGTCCTTCTTCAGCACTCAGAATTAATTTCTTTTAAATGCAAGTGTATTGAGGTCCCTTCCTTGCTAAACACCTATCCCTGGCTTCTTACGGCACTTAGAATAAAAGCTCAGGGCCCTCCCGGCCCTATATGATCTGGTTCCTGCCCTCTCTGCAGCCTCATCTCTGCGATTCTCTTTGCTAACCATCCCTCACCAATGGACTTCTTCTCAACATTAATTTTTATGATTTGCACACTGCAAGCTCATTTCAGGTCCTCATGTCATAAATGCCATTCTCTTTGCCTGAAATTCTCTTCTCTCAAATGTTCAATCATGTAACCCCTACTTATACCTTAGGTCTTTGCTGAAATTTTACATTCTCAGAGGCCTTCTCTGCTCTCACCCCTTCCCTGCCCAAATCACAAGGAAATAATCAGTTAAGAATAAAACCTTTCTCATTACTGCTTAGAGAAATTAACGTTTAATGCATAATTACAAGAGAAATTCCTGTGTGATTAGTGTTTAGTACTAAACAAATCTGAGGGAAGTTATGCTTCATTTGAAGGAGCCATGGTGGTGCAATGGTTAAGCACTTGGCTGCTAACGGAAAGGTTGGTGGTTCGAACCCACTCAGTAGCTCCATGGGAGAAAGACCTGGTGATCTGCTTCCATAAAAATTATAGCCTAGGAAACCTTATGGAGCAGTTCTACTCTGTCACATGGGGTTGCTATGAGTCAGAATCAACTCGACAGCACACAATAACAACAACAGGCTTCATCTAGGTCCCTGGGTGGCACAAACGTTTTGGGCTCAACTACTAACTTAAAGGTTGGTTCAAACCCACCTAGCAATGCCATTGAAGAAAGTCTTGGTGCTCTGCTTCCATAAAAATTACAGCTAAGAAAACCCTATGGAGCAGTTCTACTGGGTAATACATGGGGCTACCATGAGTTGGAATTGACTTGATGGCAGTGGGTTTTATGCATCATTTAAGTACTCACATGTTGGCCAAAGACGGCACTAGAGTTTAAAGTTTGTGTGCTAGATGACAGTTAGTGTGTAGTATTTGATGAATAATTTGGTATTTTAATTATCATACATCTTGTTTGCCTTGAGTATTTGATCCCTGTGTATTATAGAAAGCTACAAAATATAAAAAAAAAATCTGTCTAGATAAAAAAGAATTAATCTGGGGGAAAGAAATCACCATTTCTTAATATCTAATAGCTTTGCTTATAACTTTATCTGTGAACAATTTGGATTTAGTGTACCATGGTGGCTACGGGTTAGTGGCTACCATAGATTGAAGGGAATTTAACTGCTAAAAATACCAAAAAGAACTCAATGCTGGAAAACAGATATAAGAGAGGACCAGATAGTGAGGTTGACAAAGTGACAAGATAAGCTTATCATCAGTTTTAGAGTGTGGGGGTGGGAAGCATGAAGAATTCAACTTCTCACAGCCTCAGGATTCTTTTTTCTAAATGCAGACAACGTAGTATTTACCTTTTTGGGTGGTAAGGATTTAATGGCTTTTAATATTATCCCTGGTAAATAGTGAGTATTCAATAAATGGTAGTATTATTTATAATAAAAATAAATTTTGTATTGTTATTATTAACAAACATATAAAAGATTTAATGTCAACTTAAGTCTTTATGAAAGGGGAGGGTGGGCCAGGATAGTCACCTAAAGGATAAGTGCAAAGGCATTTTGCAGGAATCATGAATTTAGGCACTTACCATGCAATAGAAATTATCTTTGATGGAAATATGGTCTGTTCTATAATGATTAGAAATTAAAGAGCGATTGTGACTGCCCTGTTATGGTTGGTTGAAGTTTATGGTGATGATGCTAATTGGTTTCTGGGGGAATAATGAGGAGAGTGTACGTCTCAGCTGTGATTTGTGCTCACTCCCTGAGAAGCAACAGTGATTGTCATTTGACTTGGGAAAAATCTGTATTATGAGGCTATAATAATGGTTACGAAACCAAGGCCCACAGAAGTTCATTACTTGCCTTGATTCTCAAAGTTACTTAGAAAAAAGAACCAGGGCTAAAATACCTGGAGTTAATATTAAAAACAGTATTTTTTTTTTTTTAAACACATTATACAGACTGGGCAGGCTACTGCAATGTTTTCCAAAGAATTAGTTCATTGAATCTTTGCAACAATGCTCTAAGGTGACTAAAGCCATTGCCTTCGAGTCGATTCTGACTCAGTGACTCTATAGAACAGAGTAGAACTGTCCCATAGGGTTTCCAAGGCTGTAAATCTTTATGGGAGTAGACTGCTACGTCTTTCTCTTGCAGAGTTGCTGGTGGGCTCAAACTGCCAACCTTTTGGTTAACAGCCAAGCGCTTAACCTCTGCGCCACCAGGACTCCTAATGATCCCAAGGAGACACACAGCTAATATGTGGAAGTGTCAGGTCTTGAACCCAGGTACGACACACTACTTTAGTGCACTTCAGCTTCTATACCACTCTAAATGTGCCAGGTACTCTCTAATGAGATGAAAAGTATTTCTCCTATTTCTACGTCCTATTTATAAATATAGGAATACCTCAACTTGCTTTTAAGGTGTGAAATACTTAATAAAGAAAAAAACAAAACAAAAAAAAACTTCTGATACTCACGTATCTTTCCCAATCAATTTCTGCATAAAATCCATTTGGTGCCCCATTGCTTTTCTTCTGTAATAAATTTGAAAATAAATTTAGAGGGCAAACATTTAAATGAAAAATGAACAAAGGACACTTAACTCTTATCTGTATTTAGCAAGCACTCTCAGAATCCAGCACTGAAAAAACAAATTAGAGGAGCCTATTACGGAACCACAGTGGTGCAAATGAATGGTAGAGTTAGCTATCATGGTGCTACATAAAAGAACGTACATGTTTACTTCACAAAAGACTGGAGGATAACTAAAGATAGGGATATTAACAACTAATTGTTCAAATTTAATTCAATAACTGAAAAATTAGCAACACCTATATTACAATTTAATGCTTTATACCTTCATGTGATATAACCAGATCTTTTTTAAAAAATGGAAATATTTTGACTTCCATGTTGCTTTTCTATTACATTTGTTCCACCATATCCAAAGAGTATTCATTCACGTCACTCACTAATCTTCTTTTAGCTTTTCTGACACTGACTCGATTTTTTCCTAACCACCTCTTTGATAGAATATACAGGAAATAAGCCCCAGATTAGTTAATTCAACTCTTAGTTGTTAAAAATAGTGTTGATATTATTTTCTAGTGGCTTTTCTTATCAAGTTATTAAAATAGGGCTTAGTGATTAATTGTGTATTTCAGTTATCCATGTGTCCTATGCCTCCGTGAACACACGCTTTACAAGCTGAAATGATCTCACATTATTCTCTCTAGATTATTTTAAATTTCCATTTTAGCCTCCAGTATAACCCTGACATATGGCCACAGCACTTGAATAAGGATGTGGTATGACCCAAATAGCAGTGACTAAGATTCTCTACTTTTTGTGAGCAAAGGACAAAAACACAGATCAGGTTGATAATGGGAGTTCATCCAACAACATTCCTGTATTTAGCACATAGAGCAATGGTGTGTCGCTAAGCATAGCAGAACTTAGAGCAGCACATATCAAATGGTGAGGCATGAGGCTTGAGGACACGACCTCTAATTCCGCAATCACAGGTAAAGGCCACTTGAACGACAATGTGAATAGTTAACACCCAATTTGACAAATAGGTATAAGATCACTAGATAACCAAATTGGAGGTAACCCAGAGTAAACATAATCATTGACTAACATTTACTGAATGTTGACTGGACATTCTAAGAACTGGCAGTGGTTTAGCCAGGTAAGATAGTACACAAGGGATAGATAACGTGTCTATGTCTTCTTGCTTCCTCTATACTACACTGCACTAGAGCTTGTAAGTACAAGAACTTTGCCTCCACAGTCCAGCACCGAGAGACACAGGGCCTGTGCCTTTCCCACACTAGTCCTGCTCCAAAGATTATATACTCAGCCCATAGAATTGCTGTCATTGAATAAGTGCTTCGGTGTTATTCTTTTTCACTTTGAATAAAGGTTGTTTTTAAAACCAGCCACATCAACTCTGTACCTGCACACTGAAGCTAGGTTAACTAAATAACGTGCCACCTAATAATATGAAAACAAAAAACAAAAAACACAAACATACACACACAAAAAAAACTTCTCTCCCCTGGGGAGTGGCCATGTTTCCTATTTTCTTTCTGTCATATTTGCTTTCTTTTTTATTCTTTCTTTACCAATCTGTCTGCATATGTATTCTTTGAAAAACGCCCCAAATTCTTCTTAAAAAGCACAAATAATAAACAAGTTTAATATATAGATATTTAATTTTTAATAATGAAAAATCAAATGGACTAGGTTGATTCCAAAGAACTGAGCTTATGAGTTTTGTGATCAGTAACTACTGCTATTAATATACCTATTAATTCTTAAATAATTCCTCATTACAGAGGAGGTTTTTAGACTGTTATTTAAATACCAAAGAGATTAGGTAAATTGCTGAGTTTAAAATTTTTAAAGTTGTAGAGTTTGCTTCCATGATAATCTCATCTCTATAACCAAAGCTCTTCAAAACTAAGGCAGCTTATATATGCAGCTGAACAAACTTATGTATATACATATTCTTTTTTTCTTCCTGACAACACATATCCGACATTTTGGATAAAAAATTTCTGAATTTTCTAGATCTGGGCTGAGTGAAAACTTCCTAGTTTCCATGGAAACCAATGGAAGATTGAGATGAAGAGAAAGCAAAACCTATAAAATTTTTTTTTCCTTTAAAAATAGGAACATTAAAAAAAAAAAAAGTAAACACAAACACCAAATTATAACAATACATTCTTTTGGGCAGATGTACAACACACATACATATATACACACACATCTGGCTTTAGTAGAGGAATTAGCAATTTGGCTTCATTCATGCCAGTGGATTCTTAAAAATATCTTTAGCTTTTACAAGTGAAAATTATCAAGCTAAAGCTAGCCAGAGCCTGGCTGAAATTCTTCAGATCAACCCCCACAAAAAACAGAAGCAAAAGCAATTCTCATAGTTTAACTCTGTAAGCAAAGTACAACTTATGGAAGTGGTAATAGTGAAGGGAATGGCTTTATTGATTTTCAAATTGAAAACTTTGAAGAAGCAAGGGAGGGTATAAACCAAGTAGAGAAGCATCACTTAAAAACTAGGCTAAATAGTGAAAGCATTATTGGCTATTCAACAATAAATAAAGGGTGATTTTTCTCTTGGAGTTAGGGTTATGCATATTTTTACTTTTTTCTTTTCTGTATTTTCTAAAATTTCTACACTTAGCATAAATAATTTTATAACTTGAATACGTGACTGTTATTTAAAGATAATTGAGACTCACAGTGGTGTCCATCTTGTTTTAATAGGTATTTTACTTTGGTCAGGCTTATTATCTGACCAAACATGATGGGCTAAATTATTAATATAACAACAATTGTGTTCAATCGTACTTCCATCAAAATTTGCAATTTCCATTGTGAATGTTCCCTTTTCCCAAGGTTAGCTCATGACCACACAGTAATCCTTGGGTGAGAAGTATTAGAAACACACATTGTACTGCCTCAATACTATATTTTTTATCACTGAGGTAGAGCTGATCCACTTTGTAAGTAATCTTATATAACAGTATTGTCCAATAGAACTGTCTGTGAAGATGGAAATATTCTACATGTGTTCTGTCCAATGTAGGAGCCATTATTCACAAGTGGCTATTGAGCATTTGAAATGTGGCAAGTGTGACTGAGGAACTGAATTTTTATTAAATTTAAATAGCCACATGTGGCTACCATATTGGACCACACAGCTAGAGATGTTTGCATAGGCTGGCCTGGGATCAGCATCCTTGGCTTGACATCCTTTAGTTAAGTACACTGGTTCCCACAGACCAAGCCTGCAGGTTCCTGACATTAATGAGATGGCACTTAACCTAACAAACTATTAATTCAATTTGCAGAGTGATGTTTGTATTACAGCCAAAAGCTTCTTTATAGATAGCATGCTTTTTTTTAAAATTTGAATCACTGTCCTTTGTCTAGGACACACACATCTTTTATGCCTGATAACTCTTTATAAAAGTATACTCGGATGTCAATACATAGTCTATACGATTGGTTTAAAAATTGGCTCCAGGTATTCAGTAAGTAATTTGGGAATATCTAGGAAAGTCTTCTTAAATGGAGTAAATAAAGCTACTTTATTTTTCTTCCAAATTTCGAGTTGGGATTTTACTCACTTTTTCTACAACCCCTTGGAAATTTTAAACTAAAATCTGTTTCCTTACCGAAACTTTTTTTCCTCCTTCACGCGCACACTCTGCTTTGTTATTGTAGGGTGGTTCATGTGGGCTGGGCTGCTGGAATTGATTGTTTTAATGTAGAAAAAAGTTGTTAAAGGATCTGTTTGTTCTTCAAGACACATATAAAGAATCACATGGAGTCAGCAAACATATCATAGAAGAAACAATTTCTAGGCCAAATTGTAGGGCCTACCAATCTTGGCAGGATTCCTTAAGTAGAGTGGACTTTGGGGCCCATAATGAGGCTCTATTCAGCAGGCCAGCTTGGCTAGGCCAGTACAAGAAGGGAGAAGTAGGAAGATGCGTCCCAGGCACTAGGGACCACATGAATCTATTCCTCATTCAGCCAGCACTTAATTTATAGGTAGAGAACAGACACCAGGACACACCAGAAAAGACTGAATAAAACAACTGTATTTCTAATCTAAGTGTGAAAGTCTAGCTCCACCATCTTTTTCCCTGGAACAAAGCCTTCCTGAGGCCACCAATACGTATAGCACATGCGGCTGATAGTTCCTTCTCTGCACCCTTTCCTGCACACCTGTTCAGGAGGAGCAGAGCAGATCCCCTCACAGCAATGGCTAGAACCCCCAATCTTCCCAATCTTAGATATAAATCTGAACTGCTTAGGAAAAAGTTACGCTTTACTCTGCACAAATTAGTGTTTGTCTGGGCTAGAATGCGTTGTTGCACACAGCTGATGGCTCAGACATCATGATCACCAGCTCTGCCAGCGACAGGTACACCCAGCCAGCAGTGAGCAAGGCAAACCAACCGCCATACATGTAGCACTGCCAAGAAGCCTCTATAGAGTAAAAATCAAAGGCACTGTCCCCAGAGAAGGGCTTCATTGTATTTTGAGAAGCCAAAATTAAATAAGACACCAGGACATTAGGCTATTGTCTAGGCTCTGCATTTACAAAGTAGTTTATAAATATCAAGTGGGTGCACCACTACTGGTAGCTCGTGGGACCATACTAGTCAACGCATAAATATCAACTGTAGACATTCAAAAGGAAAGAATTTGGAAGCTCAACTACCCACACCAAAGTGGCTTGGGTCCACAGACACAGAGTCTTAAAGAAATCAGTTTGAGTTTCAAAGAAATTCAGGTTGACATCTTTAAGGATGGAATGTAAACAGAAACTGGGACTCATATAGTACTGGTAGGATAAGGAGCTCTCAAAATTTGGTGACAATAGTAAATGGGGGGAAAAAACTGGGGAACGTTTCCAAATGGTAAAACTAGCAGCTGACTAATAATTTCCAATGATCTACGAAGCTGTACACACTGTTTCTCAGAAAATGGATTTATTTCAAATATCACCTATTTCAAAACAGGTTTGTATTTATTTCTTGAGAAATCAGAGTTAAAGAATTCCTCTCTCCTAATAATCAAGACCAGTAATATTTATGGCATTGCCAATTAAATGACAAGGAGGGTAGAACTGCTAGTAAATGACTATATGCCTTAAAATCGTGAAGGTAAAGGAGGATTCAGGGAACTGGTGCATGAAGTCTTGACCTAGGATGTACAAACCTTCAGAATCACTGCTGGGGTCATTCATGCAGCAAATACTCATGGTTGCCTGTTATATGCCAGTCATTGACCCAGGCTCTGTGGCACATATTCTACCCAGAGATTTAAACTGGTGGTCCCCAGAGAAGCAGAGAACAGTGAATTAGCAATGGAGCCTCAGAGACAATGAGCCAAGTGGGGAGGGGGTTCAGAGAAGGATGGGGATGGCAGAGGGAGAGAAGCAAGAAACAGCACTCAGCCTGGGAGCAGCGGAGACAGAAAGCAGAGAATCGCTAATAAAGCTTTGCAAAGGTCAGAATGGAGGAGACAAGAGAATACAGGGAGGGGACCAAGACAGAGGCAGAGAGAAGACACAGAAGCATAGAGTACCTGAGACACAGTTAAGAAGAGGGCTCTGAGCCAGAAGCAAGAGGTGAGGAGAAGGTGAGTCTTCTGGGTCTTTTTTTTCCCCTGCTGAATAGAGCCTTGATTACAGTGTTACCCAAGGTCCAATGAATTTCAGTCTATTTTCTTAACATTTCATGATGAGAACTACATGAATGCAAAAGGCACCCCAAAGCTAAGAACCTTGAGTCAAGTGTGGGAGAAAAACTCCTGCTGTAGTGGCAATTAACATCCAATTTAGGTATAATATTATAAAGGGTAATGTTCCAAAAAATATTTTTAACCTCCAGGCTTATTTTAGTTCCCACTCCAGCCCAATGAGCCTTATGTGAGCCCATTTTTTTCTTCTTTTTTTCAATAACAGCTGTTCTTTTGAACCTTCTGAATAGGCATCTGATTTAGATTTGAAGGGAGTCATTTTAGAAGTTGGTGCAGACTCCCATAAGCACAACCCGGATAAATCCAAGCCCAGGCTCCACAGACTTCTTTAAAAAGCAAGAAATCTGGTGGCCAGCAAGGAGTCAGAGGTACTGTTAAATCTAAACCCAGTGGCAACATTTTCCTCCTTCAGGCTGAAAATTCAGGCATAAGTGGTTTCCAGATCATTCCCTACTTTTGAATTTAATATAGAGAATGTATCTGCAGCTCCATTACTAAAAGGGAAAGGCTTCTTCCAATTTTATTGGATCTCAGCTCCATTATGACTCCGTGGCCTCTGTTAGAGAAAAACATTCTCACGTAATGAGCTTTTACATTATTAAACTGAAAATGAAATCACAGTTGATGGTAGCAGCCCTGCATGAACTGTCTGGCTTCTGACCCACCATACTGATGATTGTTTTGCTTGCCTACTCTGGGGAAGAGTTTTATGTGAATGCAATATATAAATCTAATTTGACCAATACTGCATTTATTTCCCATGCAATTACTATAGAAAATTACAACAACAAGCAGTCTAAAAAGTCATTCAAACTTTTTTTCCCTACAGAAAAAAGTGGGACTTCAAAAAATTTAAAAATAGCATACACCCATGTGTAAACCTACTAAAATTATTTAAATACTTACAATTCCGTCTCTGTCTGGTGAACCTCTGTAACAAAAAGAAATCAGTAGCCATTAGAAAAAATGAATTATTTTTGATATGCAGACTAAAGTACAATAATAGGAATCATTAACTATACTCCCCTTATGCTCTATCCCCCCAATAAACCAGGCTAATGAAAACGAAATCAAACCAATTTGGTTGAGAGTGATGTTTGAGTGTGGGGTGTATGTATGTGTGTGGGAGGTAGATGGTCATCAAAAGCTGAAGTTCAAAAAGCACAAGTTGCTTGTGCAATGACTTGGTCCACTTTGGAAAGAAGAACTCATTAGCGAGTCTGTCCCAGTTCAGCTGGCTCCATTTAACACTACCACAAGGAATGTAAACTGAGTTGCTCTCATCTTTTCCCCTGAGAATGGTCTTGAGTTTCCTCTTATAAGAAGAAACTTCTATGGCATTTTTCAACTTATTTTGAAGATCTGTACTTTCTTCAATATTTCTGAATTTACTGTCTCCTTTGATTATATGAAAGCAGGAAACGGAAGGCAATGTTTTGCTGAATGGCTGACACTGCTGACTAAAGTCCAGGGAAGCTATTCTACGGCGGCACTATGCTGCAGTGGCTAAGAGTCAGGGCGTTGCAATAAGATGAGTCTGGATTCCACCACTTATTAGCTCTGTGACCTTCAACAAGTTACTTAACCTAAATCAGTTTCAATAAAGCAGCTGGTATGGATCGTATTGTGTCCCCCCAAAATGTGTATCAACTTGGCTAGGTCACAATTCCCAATATTGTGTGGTTGTCCACCATTTTGTGACCTGATGTAATTTTCCTATATGTTGTAAATCCTACCTCTGTGATATTAATGAGGCAGGATTAGAGGCAGTTATGTTAATGAGGCAGGACACAATCTACAGGATTAGGTTGTATCTTGAGCTAATCTCTTTTGAGATACAAAAGAGGGAAGCGAGCAGAGAGAAGAAGGACCTCATTACCACCAAGCAAGAAGAGCCATGAGTGGAGTGCGTCCTTTGGACTCAGGGTCCCTGCACTGAGAAATTCCTAGAACCAGGGGAAGACTGATGACAAGGACCTTCCCCCAGATCTGATAGAGAACGCCTTCCCCTGGAGCTGGCTCCCTGAATTCGGACTTCTAGCCTCCCAGGCTGTGAGAGAATACACTTCTGTTTGTTAAAGTAAGTACTCAAAAATGTTAGTTTATTATAATCTTTGTTCTCTTATCATAGTGTCTCTTCCTTAGGAATAAAAAATTGTGCACTTGCAGCCACATTGACATTTATAGCAATATAGGAGGGGTATTATTGTTGTTTTGGGAAACTGAGCTGGATGAACCAGGTGAAGGGAGAGGAGAGAGGGCAGTCACTATAACTGTATAACATCCTATTTTCATCCACTTGATTAGGAGTTAGACAAATGTTATTCCATTAACATGGGGGCCAGAATTGTGCTTAGAAAGGGATCTCAATCTACATTGTTTGGAAGAAAACCTTAACAAGTGCTTGGGTAGACCATGAAATCCTGAGGAGTTTGGTTGCAAAAGGTCTTTAGGAGGTGGGTCCAAGTAAGGAAATTCTTTATTGCTTTATGGGATTAGGGCAGATGAGAGGATCTCTATCTCCATGTATATCATTTCTATCTATCTCTCTATCTATCTCTATTTAGAAAGAGAATGGGGAATGCAGAGGTGGGACACTGCTTGGACTCCAAGATGTGATTCCTCTTTCCTACCAACACCACCTCCAAAATGAGAAACATAATCTACTTGTAATACAAAACCCTTGACTGGAGCACGTTTCTCATGATAACCCAAGAAGAGACTGAGTTCTGTGTTTACATCAGTGATATCGGCAGGGGCTAGAAGCAGAGGTTCCTGAGACTGAAAAATCATGGGAGTTGGCAGAAATCTTGGAGACTTTGGGTATTCCCTGGTCATAGAAATTAGATTGTTCAAAGAAATCTCAACTAAAATAGAAGAATAGAAAAGTCTCAACAGACAACAGAGTCACAATTAATTCAACAAATATTGAGGGCTTATAATGAGCCAGGCAATGGGCTAAGAGTAGGTGATAGAAATAGTAAACAAGACATGCTCATCAAAATCCAGTGGGTTATCATGGGTATAGTAAGCCCAGGCTGGTAGGAAAGCATGGACAGGTACCAACCCACACTCACTGAAACCAACTTTCCTTCTCTTATCTACATGCTACAAAAAAATGAGGAGTTTTTACTAGGATTTCAAGCCTTGTTAAAGAAGTTGAGAGAAGAGGTCATTGTAGTAACTTTTGGTTAGGGTATGTTCAGAGGCACCAGCCGATGTGGGAGTGCCTCAGGGACAGCAAGCAATAGATGTGGAGAAGAGAAGGGTCTGGAGACTGGCTTGGCTGCTGTGTTGCCCACAGTTGGTCCAGGTATAAGAGCATATCCATAGGTCATCTTAATGGAAGGTCAATTGATCTCATGCGCATTGCAGCTATTAGGATGGTATTTCAAAAATTTTAATCAGAAAAGCTGTAGTTAACAGCATTGGGGTGCCATTCTGATCCTTTGTCTGATCCACTGATGGAAATGGATCTGGTGTTTCCTAGTACAGTAATATTAAGCAGGACAATGAAGAGTACTGGCTCTAGTACCAGGCTACCTGGGTTCAGTCAACTTAGGTTTCCTAGTTGCATAACCTTGGGCAAGTTACTTCACTTTTTGTGCCTCAGTTTCCTCATTTATAAAATATCAATGATAGTAACATACACCCAGTAGGATTGTTGGAGGATTAGTTAATATAAATAAAGAGCCTAGACTAGTTCCTATTACATAGTCAATACTCTTTGTCACCTAAAATAATAATTACTATATAATCTGACCTAAGACTGGGTAGTGGGGAGATTTTAGCAGCTGTAGACACTTGAGCATGTGTTCTATATTCATTTTATTAACTCATTTAGGTTTACATTTTATTTTAAAAGATTTTTTTTTCCTTTTTAAGAGCATACACATTCTATCTACTGTCTTCTAATTTAAAATTGGTCACCTACCATGGAAGTTTTGCCTCTGTTTTTTTAAGTTTCAGCTACCTCTTGTAACTCTACTACCTTTTCTCTTTTCCCCTCCTATTTGCCTGGACTATAAGTTTGCCCATCTACACTTTTCATTTCTGGGTGATAAAACATAGGCAATAGACTCTGGACTAGAATACCGGCTCCAAGTCTTATTTTCTTGGTAGCCTTCAGTGAGTTACTTAACCATTTTTGGTAATGATTTCTCCTGTCTAAAACTGAGATATTACTACTAATCTTATTGAGTTAGTGTGATGATTAAAAAGGATATCAGTGCATACAAAATACCCTGCACAAGGCCTGTCACTCTTCCCCTGTTTATCAGCCACTGTAATAATGATTAAATCAGGAAGCTCTGGTCCTAACCCTACTCTTTATCAAGGGAGGTTCAGTCATCTGGAGTTGGTGCTGGAGTCTAGCCAAGTAGGTTTCTTAGCAACCGTGAACCAGTTGTAACAGTCTCGAAAACAGTTTCCATCAACGAGGTTTCAGTGATCCCTGCTTAACATGAGCATTAGCTAAAGCTGAAGGGGCAGCAAATTGCCACAGCATCTTCTGATTCCTTTTGCAAGAATGATATATAGCCCAATTACAGAGCAGAAGTTCACGAAAAACAAAGGCTTATACTAAACTGCTTGTCCGCCAACCATCCACTGATGGTGGAAACGGTCTAGAGCCAATTTGCCATCAGATAAGTAACTTGGGGGTACTCAGATGGTAAGAAGGAGGAGTTGGGATTCTACAAGCAAATGCCCCATTAGAGTTCCTCAGAGCTTTTGGGCATATACCCAAAGCCATGAGGAACAACTTACCTTTTTTCATATCTTTAGAAGTGGGGATGGAGGAGCAGTTCTTTGGCCACATGCAAATTAGCTCAGCAAGCCCTGGGGAGGTTGTTTAACCTCTTTTCCCTTCCCCTTCTAGAAGGATTGTTTTTTCTTTCCCCTTTTCAACAATCTTCACACATCAGAGATTATGTGCAGTCAGTTAAAGACATTGTCTTCGTAAAACAATGGATTTGGTCTCTGCTAATGATGCTCTCCTGAGCTGTGTCTAATAGTGCCACATACAATACCTGGCACATTGTAGGCGTCAACAGATGTTGCCGATGACTGTCCAGTACCGTGTCTGGCACTTTAGGGAAATTAGTTCCATCTAGTGTAAATTTTCACTTTCACAGATGAGAAAACTGAGGCCCAGCAAAGGAACATGCAATTCCCAAGGCCACGGAGCCACTGGCAGAACTGAGACTACAGCCCAGGTCTTTTGACTCCAGCGAAAAACCACCACCAATTCTTGGTAGGTAATGTCTAGAGAATGGCAATTTCTTAAGAAACAGTGTGAATTATACCATCCTCAGAAAATATTCTTAATTCAGTCATTTAGAAAATTTTGCAGGACTACAATAAATGTATTCCATGAAATAATTATTTACCAAAAGAAAAAACACAATGAAAATGTGATAACAGGAGACTTAACATTTGGTATCTACATAGAAAGTAACTTTTCCCCCAATTCCTTACACTCCTTTGCTTAACAGTCTTTGAGGCTTTAAGACTGCCCACTACCGAAGGAAGGAAGACCAGAAACCTCAGCCTGGCAATGAAGTCCTTCCCATCTGGTCCTGACCTCCTTTTCAGCCTTGCTTTCCATTATCACCTTTACCTGTAGCCAACAGGTAGACACACTGCCCATTTATCTTGTCCTGAATGCCCACTGGATTTTTCCACCTCTCTGATTTTGCTTTTGTTGTTGCCTTAGCATGAAATGCATGTCCTTATCCTCTTAAAGATCAAATTCAAGGTTCCTCCCTCCCTGAAGCTTCCCTGATGATCTGTCCAAATATGAGCTTTCCCATCCTCAAGCTCCCGTGAAATTTCATTTTTAATTACTCATAAGGAACTTACCATACATTACTTTGTATCAGTAATAATAAGGGTTGTAGAAGCTACCATTTATGCAGCATTTACTGAGTACTAGGTACTATACTTCTTGTTGTTGTGTACTGTCAAGTGGATTCTGCCTCACAGCAACCAGTGTGACAGAGTAGAACTGCCCCATAGGGTTTCCTAGGCTGTAATCTTTTCTACCATGGAGTCACTGGTGAGTTCGAAATGCCAACCTTTCAGTTAGCAGCTGCCTCATCTTAACCACTGTGCCTCCTGGGCTCTATGGTACCACAAGAGGCATTTTAAATGTTATCTCATTTAATTGTATGAAAGATATTTTAATTAATATGGTAGATATTTCATCCCGTGAATTTTTAAATAAATTCTTGGAGGACAAGGAAACAGGACAATAGTCAGCACCTTGTAATAAAATTTTTACATAATAAAAATGTACAGAATGAAGAACTAAAGGTGAGAATAAATGTAGCCCTCTTCCTTTTCACCTGTGCCCAAACAACTATTGATTTCCCCATTTCCTAACTTCTTTCAGGGACCCTAGTCAAATGAGAGGTTTAATCAACTCAGTTCTGATATACAGTGGACCACATCAGATCTGCATTTTCACATGGTTAAAACCAGCTGGAGCTGAGGAGTGGTGCCATCTTGATCCAGGCCTTGGGCTGGAATCCCAAATTCCTGGACTGCTCATGTATTTAAGTTACCAGCCTGGATCGAAAAGGCACCTGAGTTTTTGGCTTAGTGCTAAATACTTCTGAAAGAGGATCCAAGACGGTCTAAGAAGTGGAATGAAATTGTTACATGCTTGAACATTTTCAGAAGGGGTCCGTTAGTGTCCATGGGCAATTGACTCTCTTGAGTGTGATAATTTAAACATGTAAAAGTATCCACCCTGTTGTTTCTGGCATTGGTTGCTTATTAGCAGCCAAATCTTCATTCTTGTGAATTCTGTTAGCTGATTTACAATTGTGTTTATATAAAATCTTGGCATCTCAAGTAAGAGATCTGGTATGTTACCTAGACTATCTTTCTGTTTCTGGTTAGGCATAATCTATCTCAACAGGTATTTGTTTTTTCAGTTCAGTTTAGGGTCAACCCTCAAGGTGGAAATACATGTTTTTAGTTGCCCACAAAAGTAACAATCACCCTTCCCTCCTCCCAGGACTGATGGGAAGTGTGGCTATCATGCTATTGAGAAATAAGGAATGATGAAAAATTGAACATGTGATGAAAAGTCTTCATCTCCATAGCATAAAACTAAGAACTGTTTATGCCCAGTAATTACAATTTACCCAGAAATGGGGAGAGCAACCAAACAGTACAGGATATCCAAGAAAATTCTGTGGAAAATTTAAAGTAACAGTGACATCTCTTATTCAAATAGTTTCTTTGAGGAGGCAAATTTTTAAAGTACGTACGTAGAATCAGTGTCCTTTTCTTTCTTCCGTATTCCAAAGGCCTTCCTTGTACGTTTTTTCAATCCTGTGGAAAAAGAAAAAAGGGCCAAAGAAATATATCAACAACATTCAAGTGAAGATATTTTTAGAGTTGCAACAATCCAGGTAAACTTGAATGTTCAAAAACCAATGAAAGTTTTTTCAATTTTGTGTGTGCATGTGCATATGATTCCTTATTATAGTTTTTAACAGATGTTTATCAAGCACTCAGTAGTATACATTCTTAGCATTATAAGCAACATAAGACTGTATGGGTATAGAGCAGATTGCAAGCTTTTCTTAGACCATTTTTGTTCATCATCCACATTGGGGCTCTGCCAAGAAACTGAATTCCAGATGGAGAAGAATAACAAATTCCAGGTTAGACACATTCTTGCAACTGGGAAAATACCAAGACACAGATCATGTAAACCATACTAAGAGAGCTACATTGTTCTGACAACTCTTTGTGTCCCATATTCCCATCTCATCTTTTTCTACTTCCTCAACTCTGTGGCCAGGCTGGATTAATAACCATTCTCTAAATATACAGGGAGTCCCTGTGTGGTACAATAGTTAATGTGCTCAACTGCTTACTAAAAACTTGGAAGTTTGAGACCACCCAGAGGCACCTTGGAAAAAAGGCCTGGTGATCTGTTTTGAAATATCAACCCTATGGAGTACAGTTCTACTCTAACACACATGGGGTTGCCATGAGTTGGAATCAACCTGATGGCAATTGTTTTTTTCTAAACATATCTCAGCTCTTGTACTCCAGTATCTCTTTATTTCTTACCTTCTTTAGTCCTTACCTTTGATTAAAATGCTTTTCTTATTTTGTTGAACATTTAGAATTTCAATTCATCCTCCAAGGGCCAGGCCAAAGTCTACTTCCTCTGTGGCTGATACTCAATCCCAGTTGTGTTAAGACACAAGCTATTCTGTGCTACCCACAAAATGCTATTCTTACATGTATTATAATATATCAAACTGTATCACACTTGTTTCCCATGCCAGTTTCTCCTGTTAGACTGTGAGCTTTTCCAGGACAGAGGCCAAGGTGTACTTGTTTGTACATCCTGGACACCTACTACTGATACCAGATAGTATTTATTGACTTAAAATATCTTCTGGGAAGCATCATTAGGGCAGCACAAGGCCTCTTTCTTCCATCTTGGACAAACCAAGCCATGTCTTATTTGTTTCATTCTTATCCTGTCAAGGCTCTGTTTGGATTTCCCACCCCCTACATGCTTCATAAGGAGCTCTGGTGGCACAACGGTTAAGTGCTTGACTGCTAACCGAAAGATTGGCGGTTCAAACCTATCCAGTGGCTCTGGGGAAAGACAGACCTGGCAATCTGCTCCTGTAAAGATTACAGTTTAGGAAACCCTATGAAATAGTTCTACTCTGTCACATGCGGTTGCTATGAGTTGAAATCAACTTGACGGCACCTAACTACAACAACGAAGTGTTTCACAGTTACACACTTGGCTTGTGTTTCTTGTGTTAGTATTATTCCAACATATTATATATTCAAAACTGTAGACTTGTTACTAGTGTTTTGGAAAGTGTTCTTGAGATGCTGAAGCTGGAAAAGTCATTGACATTACAGGATATGTGTTTGGCACTACCAGGTGGAATAAAAGGAAAAACACTGATAGCATCAATGATTTGATGACACCTTCTTCCAAAACATGTGATCTCCAAAATGCCTCTGTTCCATCTAATTTTGCATTTTAATAGTCATTCCAGTTAAGAAGTTTAGGTTTTTAAAATGTCAATGTTTGTTTTTTTACAAAAATCTCCTTCCATATAAAACTATTTTCTACTACTCTCCACATGGGGAGTTTATAGGAAAACTGATGGACATTTAAAACTACCCACCTATAATATTTAGGAAAATCTTCCCTCCTTTTCATGTTTATTTTAATTGTTTTCTTCCTTCTCATCTCTAACTACCTTTTCCCCTTATAGGGATAAAGAATCATAGTCATATAATAATATTCTTCCCACAATTTTTCTTAGGCCTTACATCTCTTCTTTAAAAAAATATTTTATTATTATCATTTTTCTTAGGCATCTTGTCTCTTAATTGGTTTTTCTAGGCTTCTAATTTACCCTTTGGGTTGATGAGGTATGCTATAATTGCCAATCACTACTGGTTTTATAGGGCTATAAAACCAATGCTATTAATATCTCCTGTTTGCAAAGTACTTTATTTCCCATAACTTGACCATAAGAGATAGCATGTCCTACTAAATAGATGAGAAAATACATACAGATTCCAGTAATTCTTGTATTAAGTTAATAACAGAGTAGACAATTGTAGTTTTCCATAGACCTTGCCCAGTTTTGACAATCAAATGTGGACAATAGCCAATATGATCTAGGTCATGAAAGTCACAAGTTGTCTAGTTTCCAGAAAAAAGTGCAGTATAACAGAAGTCAGGAGACACAGGGTCCAGTTTCAGCTTCATTTCTAATTTCTTAGCTTAGTTCAAGTTATGTTCTCTTTATGTTTCAATCTCTCAGACAACTAATAATAAGAAAATCAACTAATAATAAGGAAAGAAAGAATATACACACCTTCACAAAATACTAAGCCAACCCACAAGTTTAGTTTCACTGAAAGTCCTGTTTTTTATGAACCAAGAATACACCATCGATGTGAGATTCCAGGGGAAAAAAAAAATCAAATTGTTTAATAGGAAAAAACATTGAAAACCTTTTTCCCATGAAAAGTGGAAAGGTTTGAGAAGTTTAGGAGAACATGAAGAAAATTCTGAAAGACTAAAGCGGAAGTTATAAAATGTAAAAGCCACTTATATCTTAACAACTTCTGGAGATGATCCAATAAGAAAACAATCACACAAGCTACATTTAAAGTCATTGGAGAGGCATGGTCATGTCTTTGGAGAGTTTATTTTAAAATATCAAAAAAAAAAAAAAAAACTCTTAAAAAGAGAGAAACGATAGTTGAGGATCTTATAGGAATTATAAGACACTATATTCGATAATCTGATAAGCTTAAAAAAATACTATATCTGAAAAACTCTCTACTTCTGATTCTAGAATTTCATGAAGATTTTAAAGTTAATTTCTAATTATTTCTAGGCTGGGTGATGAATTTTTGTCAACTATCCTTTACCAAAGAGCAGCTCGAAAAGACAAAGTAAAGTATTATAATGAAATGTGCAAAGACCTGGAGATAGAAAACCAAAAGGGAAGAACAACTTGGCATTTCTCAAGCTGAAAGAACTGAAGAAAAAAATTCAAGCCTCGAGTTGCAATACTGAAGGATTCTATGGGGAAAATCCTAAATGATGCAGGAAGCATTGAAAGAAGATGGAAGGAATACAAAGAGTCACTGTACCAAAAAGAATTGGTTGACAGTCAGTTCAGGAGGTAGCATATGATCAAGAACCAATGGTACTGAAGGAAGAAGTCTAAGCTGCACTGAAGGCATTGGTGAAAAACAAGGCTCCAGGAATTGATGGAATACCAGTGGAGATATTTCAATAAACATGCGGTGCTGGAAGTGCTCACTTGTCTATGCCAAGAAATTTGGAAGACAGCTACCTGGCCAATCAACTGGAAGAGATTTATATTTGTACCAATTTCAAAGAAAGGTGATTCAACCGAATGCGGAAATTATCAAACAATATCATTAATTTCACACACAAGTAAAATTTTGCTGAAGATCATTCAAAAGCGGGTGCAGTGATACATCGACAGGGAACTGCCAGAAATTCAAGCCAGATTCAGAAGAGGAAGTGGAACCAGGGATATCACTGCTGATGTCAGATGGATCCTGGCTAAAAGCAAAGAATACCAGAAAGATGTTTACTTGTATTTTATTGACTATGCAAAGGCATTCAATTGTGTGGATCATAACAAATTGTGGATAACAGTGCAAAGAACGGGAATTCCAGAACACTTAATTGTGCTCATGAGGAACCTGTAGGTAGACCAAGAGGCAGTCGTTGGAACAGAACAAGGGGATATGGCGCGGTTTAAAGTCAAGAAAGATGTGCGTCAGGGTAGTATCTTTTCACCATACTGTATGCTGAGCAAATAATCAGAGAAGATGAACTATATCAAGATGAACACTGCATCAGGATTGGAGGAAAACTCATTAACAACCTGTGATATGTAGATGACATAACCTTGCTTGCTGAAAGTGAAGAGGACTCAAAGCACTCACTGATGAAGATCAAAGATCAGAGCTTTCAGTATGGATTATGTCTCAACATAAAGAAAACAAAAATCCTCACAACTGGACCAATAAGCAACATTATGATTAACGGAGAAAAGACTGAAGTCGTCAAGGATTTTATTTTCTTGGACCCACAATCAACGCCCATGGAAACAGCAGTCAAGAAATCAAAGGACACATTGTATTGGGCAAATCTGCTGCAAACAACCTCTTTAAAGTGTTAAAAAGCAAAAATGTCACTTTAAGGATTAAGGTGCTCCTGACCCAAGCCATGGTGTTTTCAATTGCCTCATATGCATCTGCAAGCTGGACAATGAATAAGGAAGACCGAAAAAGAATCGATGCCTTTGAATTCTGTTGTTGGTGAAGAATATTGAATACACCATGGACTGCCAGAAGAACCAACAAATCTGTCTTGGAAGAAGTACAGCCAGAATGCTCATTAGAAGCAAGTATGGCAAGACTAAGTCTCACAAACTTTGGACATGTTATTAGGAGAAACTAGTCCCTGGAGAAGGACATCATGCTTGGTAGAGTAGAGGGTCAGTGAAAAAGAGGAAGGCCCTCAGTGAGATGGATTGACACAGTGGCTGCAACAATGAGCTCAAGCATAACAATGACTGTGAGGATGGTGTAGGACCTGGAAGTGCTTCATTCTGTTGTATATAAGGTTGCTATAGTCTGAACCAACTCGACGGCATCTAACAGCAACAACAATCCTTTACCAAAAATGGGAGGGCAAAAATCAAGTGTTTTCAATGAAGTGAATTTCCTATGTCAACATATTAAAAAAAGAGAGACCTAAAGGGAAAGAATTGTATTGTCCT